GGGGGGGGGGGGGGGGGGGGGGGGGGGGGGGGGGGGGGGAGAGAAGGGGGGTCCTGGAGTGAGGGCAGATGGGAATGGGGGACCTTCTCTCCTTCATCTTTTTTCACCATCTCCTTTTCTGGGGAGGAACCTCTCCCAGCAAAGGTGTTTGCTGGGGATCTTCCTCCCGGGGGGGTCTCAGGGCTGAGCCGAGGGGAGGATGGGCCTGAGGGCACGGGGTGGGGGGGACATTGGTGACATTGACCCTCCCCGATGTCCCCAGCACGGCCTACACCCCCGAAACCACCGACTACGACGTGCGGGTGCTGCTGCGGTTTCCCCAGCGGGTGAAGAACCAGGGCACGGCCGATTTTCTGCCCAGCCGGCCCCGCCACAGCTGGGAATGGCACAGCTGCCACCAGTGAGTGTCCCCACGTCTGTCCATCCATCCATCCGTCCCCACCAACCCTCCTTCTCATGGCAATTTTAAGGATTTTTTTTTTTTTTAATGGCATTTCTCCTTTCTGGGAGCTTTGCTTTGAGGTCCTTGGTGGGGGGGGGAGAGTGTGTGTGTCACCTTGCTTTCCATCTGTGTCCCTAAAGCCACCAAGCTCCTGCAATTCATGTCCCCAAGCTGGTTTGATGGGGAGCCTCCAAAATCGCATCTGGGGAGGGCACGGTGCCATTTGGGGGCCGTGGAAGGTGGGGAAGGGGGGGGTTATCACCCTGATTGTGCCCCCCCACCGTTGCCAGGCACTACCACAGCATGGATGAGTTCAGCCACTACGACCTGCTGGATGCCACCACGGGGCGGAAGGTGGCCGAGGGCCACAAGGCCAGCTTCTGCCTGGAGGACACCACCTGTGACTTCGGCAACCTGAAGCGTTACGCCTGCACGGCCCATACCCAGGTGCTTTTTTTTTTGGGGGGGGGGGGGGGGGATGGGGATGCTTGAAAAGCTCTTTGGGGTTCCCCCCACCCCAGCACACCCTGAACCCTCTTTTTCTCTCCCCTAGGGCTTGAGCCCCGGCTGCTACGACACCTACAACGCCGACATCGACTGCCAGTGGATCGACATCACGGACGTGCAGCCGGGGAATTATGTCTTAAAGGTGGCCAGGGTCCTTGGGGGAGATTTGAGTGAGGTGTCATTGAGTCCTGGCCATGTGCCAGGACCCAGAGGGTTGTAATTAATGGAGCAGGGTCGAGTTGGGGGCCTGTGACCAGCCGCGTCCCCTCAATATTTGGTCCGGTTTTGTTCAACATATTCATCAATGACCTGGATGAGGGAACAGAGTGTATCCTCACCAAGTTGGCTGGTGACACCAAACTGGGAGGGCTGGCTGACACTCCAGAGGGCTGTGCCACCATCCAGTGTGACCTGGACAGGCTGGAGAGCTGGGCAGAGAAGAACCTCATGAGGTTCAACAAGGGCAAGTGCTGGGGAGGAAGAACCCCAGGCACCACTAGAGGTTAGGGGTTGATCTTCTGGAAAGCACTGCTGAGGAGAAGGATCTGGGTGTCCTGGTGGACAGTAAACTCTCCATGAGCCAGCAATAGGCCCTTGTGGCCAAGAGGCCAATGGGATCCTGGGCTGCGGAGGGAAGAGTGTGGCCAGGAGGTGGGGGGAGGTCATTCTCCCCCTCTGCTCTGCCCTGGGGAGGCCACAGCTGGAATCCTGCCTCCAGTGCTGGGCTCCCCAGTTCAAGAGAGACAGGGAACTGCTGGAGAGAGTCCAGCGTAGGGCAACAGAGAGGATGGAGGGGTTGGAGCATCTCCCTGATGAGGAAAGGCTGAGAGAGCTGGGGCTCTTGAGCCTGGAGAAGAGAAGGGTGAGGGGAGACCTTCTTCATGCTTCCAAGGATCTAAAGGGTGGGTTGAAGGAGGATGGAGCCGGACTCTTCCCAGTGGTTCCCAGTGACAGGACGAGGGGCAACGGGCACAAGCTGGACCATGGGAAGTTCCACTCCAATGTGAGGAAGAACTTGTTTGGGGTGAGGGTGGCAGAGCCCTGGCAGAGGCTGCCCAGGGAGGGTGTGGAGTCCCCTTCTCTGGAGATCTTCAAGCCCCACCTGGATGCTCCTGAGTGATGTGCTCTGGGCAGCCCTGCTTTGGCAGGGGGTTGGACTGGATGATCTCTAGAGGTCCCTTCCAACTCTGACAATTCTGTGATTCCATGATATTTTTTTGGGGGGGCAAAAAATCACCAATTTGGGGACGGCTTGATATCTTCTCAACCATGGGCTTTGGGACCACACACCTTTTTTTGATGCCATCCCCTTAACATGGGTTTAAGCCCTGCTTGTCCTCCCGCTTACTGATTTTTAAGGGTGATTTCCCTTCCTTTCTTTTTCCCCCATTTTTAGGTTCAAGTGAACCCCAAATACATCGTCCTGGAGTCGGACTTCACCAACAATGTGGTGAGGTGCAACATCCATTACACCGGGCGCTACGTCGCCACGACAAACTGCAAGATTTCCCAGTAAGGAGACGTCCATCTGTCCTTCCCTGTCCTTCCCTTGGCAAAAAAAACCCCCACAAAATAGAGATGGGGGTTGGACCTGAGCAATTTAATTCCGTTTCTCCTCCCCTTTTCTGCATAACCATCCAAAAATCGCTGGATTTTGGGTTGGTGCCTTGCTCCCTTTGAGGTGTTTATATTGAATTTCCAAGTTATTCCGGGGAAAAACGAAGCAGTTCCAAAATTAACCTCCCCCCCTCCAACTCTGCCTTTGAAATAACATTTTTAAATGTCTTCCCAAGCACGTTTTGCTAAATCTGTGTGGTTTTGTGTTTGTTTTTCTTTTTGTCTTGCAGATCTTGATGGGAGCAGGGCCGGAGGGATGTCACCTGTCCCAGCCTCTGTCCCCCTCTTGACAAAGTGCCTGAGCTCAGGAGCCTCCGGAGCCCATCACCAGCTCCTCCAGACACCCCCCCCCAAAAAATACCAACCACCAACCCCAACCCTCATTTCTTCCTGTTAAAAGGAGGGGAAGTGAGAATGACTCTTTGAAATATTTTTTTTTTATACTTAACTTTTCTTTAACCTTTGGGTTTTTGGTATTTTTTATTTTTTTTTCCAAA